CAACCAACCCCTCCACTGATCCATGCGATGTGGTCCCTGCTCATCCCTGCTGGAGCCCAGCACCTCCCACGTCTCCATCCGTCAGGCAGGCTGGCTGAGCCTTTCAGCTTCTAGCCACACCCACGTGGGGCAAAATGTCGGCATGAGTTCACTCCATTGTTGTTTTCCGTTCTTGACGTGTGAGTGGAGAGGTGGGCTGCAGAGGTTTCCTTGTCAGGACTCGTCTAGCTCCTGGGAGTCCCCAGTGCTGTACGGCATGGCTGCATGTTATCAGCTGCGGGAAATCAACGAGAGTGACTCTGTGTTCGCTCCATTGTGTTGCTTGGTACTGGGAGTTCTCTGGGGCAGGCGTAGCTCTGTGCACGCTTACGGTGCCACGTTCGTGATAAATAGGAAAGGGCGTAGTTTAGCTAGGAAGCGTGTTTCCTCTCCAGGCACCGGAGCAGCCAGACTTTCTTGAGCTGCTGGACTCTGGGCTGAGTTGTATCCTCGGTAATTTGCCTTACCGCTGTGTAGCCAGTGTAATTGCTGAGATCTCTATTTTACACTGCACAATTTCTCCTCTTTGCCAAAGGCCAGAACTGTATGTAAGAGTTGGCAGGGTGTGCGCCTCTCCCCTCAGGTCAGGAGGGGAAGCAGTGACCCTGCCCTAGTCCTAGAGGGCGTAATTGGGGCACTTCGTATAGCTCTGTATTATGTTTATGTTTTACGTATAGTTGCCGCTTAAATCCCAGTAACTCCTCGGGGTAGATATGCCTGTGAGTGCCGGGGTTCCTGCTGGGAGCCCTGACGACTGGGGCTCTGTCTGTCTGTTTTACTAGCCGGCTGCTTGTCTTGTGATGCTGTTCTCCTGTAAAGCTGGTGCTGAAAATAGCAAGGGCAGGAGCAGCTTTTAGCTAATTAACAGGAAAACAGAAGAAAATGTATCTCCCAATAGAGTCTGTGCCGTGAGCTGCTGTCTGGAGACGTGGCTGAAGTTTGCTTCTCTGACTGGCTGTTCTCCCCATTTGCAGAGCATTCAGTCCGGCTCTGCTCTCATGCCTTCGTCTTGTAATCGCTCTCATTTTACAGAATTCATTATTTGAAATTTCCTTGGAGGGCTTCCCCCTTTCCCTGCTCTTACCCCCGTATGCATCCCAGGCATAGCCCAGCACCCCTGCTGAATGGAAGAAGCAAGGTCATCGCTTTAATGTAAGTTTCACCTTTCCTCTTTCTTCCTCCCAGTCAGGGTAGCTGTCCCGGTTCCAGCTCCATGTGACATCGCCATGGCCTTTTCTTCACGGTTTGCATTCTGGGAACAAAAGGGAAGTCTCTTTTGTGTTTCCGCCCCTGCCGTGCTCGGCCTTTGTGCAGTTTGTGTGCCCAGCAGACAGCATGTTTCCAGGAAGCTGCCCCTAGTTTGCCCAGTTCGGGGAGCTTGCAGGGTGCAGTGGTGGGGCCTGGGAGGGCGGGCACAGCACCGCAGCATGCACTTCAGGCACTTGGTTTCAAACAGCTCTTGCGAACTTCCGCCTGGTGCGATGTGCGGCTCCCTTGGGTGCAATCCCCCCAGTGCAGCGGCCAGCACAAGGCCTGACATGGGATTTCAGTCATGTCCTCTGCACCGGGGCAAAATTCCCCCCCTGTGAGCTGAGCAAACTGGGAGCTGCTCCCCCCCATCACTAACATCTGCCTGATAAATACTCTGTGTCTTCTAAACCCGTGTTAAGCAGCACTAACATCTGGGCCAGCTGTGCTGTAAGAACATTACTGTAACCTTGGCTTTGGGGTCTGTGCAGGGAGGCAAAGAGGAGAGCCCACAGCTGCTGTGCGGTCAGTCACTCTTGCCGCTCTGGAGTGGAATGTGCAGGACCAATGCCCGAGCCATTCTGGGGGAGCGGGGGCTGAGCTGTACTCGCCAGCAGTAACCCAAGCTGGTGAGGAAGGATTCCCTTCTGTGCACTGACCTCACCTTGTGAGACTCCTTTGGTACCACGAGTCAGGCTGAATCTAAATGCAGACACCGAGCTCCAGGGTGGGGAGCTCCTTGGGGGGTTGTCTAAATGCTCTGGAGAAGCTTCCCAAGGTGTTGTGATAGCTCCTGCTCCGGAGAGCACCGGTCTGTGGGGGCCAAGTGCCGTGCGGGAGCCGTGGCTTCGCTGGCTAGGAGCCTGGGTGCCCTGGAAGCAGTGAAATGGTGAGACACTGAAGCCTGTTACATCCTGAAACCCAAGTTTGACAGTAGCTGTGCGTGTGGGGTGGGGGCTGAGTTTCCCCTTGTGCCATGGTATCGGGAGATTACCCCAAGGAGCGGTTACTAATGCATGGCCTGAGTGGGTGACTTACTAATGCCGCCAGTGGCCTGCTCGTGACTGACTTTCACGGAAGATGTTCCTCACCACGTTTAATTGCAACCGTTGCCACTTGCCTCATGCGGGGGCAGGGGGGGGGGCTGTATTTCCCTCAGCTAAAGCTGGGGGACAGCAGTCAGCCGTGAATGCTGCTCAACAGGGATGGGAATAGCTGAAATCCCAGCTGGGGCCCAGGGGTTAGGTAGGCTTCAAGGAGAAACCTGACTGCAGGGATTATTGACTCGGTCATGTTCAGGCTTTTCACACTTTCTGTTTTCATGGCCTCTCTCAGGGTCTGATCCTAGAACCAGTGAAGTCCATGGGAGCTGTTCCACGGTTTTCAGTGAGCTTTGGCTCAGGCCCGTAATTGGGTTGTCCCCGTTAAGATGGCACACCTTGGGCGATGGCTTGCCCTGACTAGAGTTCAGCTATTGATTGGCGAGTTGCCGTGCTTCCCGCTGCCAGCGACCCCTCGTTGCTAATGCAGTGCAGGGCACAATCACACAGGCCAAGGAAAGTTTCCTCCATATTAGTCTATTCTCTGTTGTAGAGAGGCCTTTTCAGAGCACTGCCAGGTTTAAAGAAGCCCCGGTCACCACGTGCCTTCCCTGGAGTTTTCCAGGGCGGGCAAAGGCATGTGCTTGTGTTCGCCGGCGCTTCCAAAGGGATGGCTGCTGGAGAGATTAGCCGATGACGTTTAACATGCAATACAGTGTCTGATGTGGTAAGAGCAGGGGCAGCTCGCCCCAAGCCAGGTCACTTTCCTTATCTGAGCACTTGGCTTTTCACTTGTTACTCAGTTTAGCTCAGTTGTCAGAGCTAAGCCGAGTAACAAGCAGAAAGCCAGAAACCCTCCTGGGGAGGGGAAATGGGGCTTCAGTTGCCAGCTCCGTCACCAACTGCAAATACAGTCCCTCCTGTTTGCTGGAGCTTCGCTGCTGTGAGCTATGGAGCATGTCGGCATGTTCCTGACCTAGGGCAGCTGAGTGGTGTTACAGAGCCATGCAGGAGGAGTGTTTCAGTGTCATCTCT